GCTGCCCAGAACCCAGCGCTGTTAAACACTCTTATCACCTCATCGGTCTTATCTCCTGCGATCCCTGCCAACATTTGGAGTCTGTCAATGGGAACGAGCAGTGCACCTTGAAAGGTGCCACAAATGAACAGAAAGAAGAGGTGATGTGAGGGAAAGAATATCTGAAAATAAAGAGTGCCTGTGATATCCCTCAAAAGGCAAAGGTTAGGGTATATGTTTTCTGCTCTGCTTTTCACTCTCACAGTGTCTGTGCTTGGAGGTGTGATCAAAGGCACAGAGATGAGGTCTCAGTGTAGACCAGCACTCAAGGAGATATGGGGGTCCCGTACAGACCCCCACAGCTGGTGTGGAGGGCTGTGCAGCCCCCGTATCATCACCCATATGGGGTTTAGCTGAACCAAAGCTCACCCAGGTAACCAGCTCGGTTTTGTTTTTCCTCTTCCTGTACTCGTGCTAAATAAAACACGCGCGATAGAGAAGGAGACGGTGTCTCCCTTAAGGTCACACTTCCACTCACAGAGGTTTCTGCATGTGGTTTGGAGAGCGAATGAGGCAGGTCTGGAAGATCAGTGTTTATATAACTCTGTTTTAAAAATTATCCCATGAAACCAGCACAGTCAAACACTGGTACATCAGGGTCTGCTTGCCACAGTGGGACAGCAGGAAACATGTTCTATAGTGCGTGCAGCATCTCAGCAGGGCTCAGCCAAGCCGTTTCCATGTCTCTGCCCCCTCAGTCCAGAAACCTTGTGTTAGGTTAAGCAGGGTACAGAAATTCCCAAGGAGCGAACATGGGAGGGCAACACCGATATAATCCTATCACTTATAAGACAAAATTGGCGTGCAGTAGCCATAGTACCACTTAACGGATAAGACAGTTGGTCCATCTGCGCTCGGTCCATCTTCTCTCGTTTCTCTTGCTTAAATTTCTCAGGAGCAGAACAAAATCCTGTTATCCAATAAGTTACCCACCGGTAGTTGGATTTTCATTGAGTGACATCTGTCACAGACCATGGGCGTAGGAGGTACCAGTGATTTTGTAGCATCTTTGTTTTGATGGGTTTGGGAGATGTGGGCATTTGGTTTTAGTTTTGAAGTATTTGGAAATGCTCTTGTTTCCTTTGAAAACTGTGCAGCTTGGCTGTCATCCTGCTGTGGCCAGATGTGCCAGGAGGCTGTAAAAGGCACCAGGGATGGCACACAGTGTTAGGAGGCAAGAGAAAAGCTTGGAATCGATCCGTTGTTGGTTGGTAACTCGTGTGTGTGGGACTGAGCGCTCTCACATTTGAGTGTGTAATGGTCTTTCCTTCCTTCCTGGTCATTTTCTGTCTGCCGGTATGTGTTCTGCCATTTCCACGAGCTCTTCCTTTTGATAGACAGGGTATTGCTAAAAGGGCTCTGGGACAGGTACCTGCCAGTGCCTTGCAAGCTGAAAACAGAGCTCTACGAAACCCTACATATTAGTGCTCTGAGCCTGGCCTTTTCCCCTTTTTGTGTTGAAGTTCACTGAATCGTAGCACTGACTGCCTCCTTTTTAACCTGTCACAGTGACATTATTCCAGCTGACGCATGATGAGGAAAGGGCATTTCTTAGAGGCATCCTGGCATAGAACAGAGCTCGGTGTTAGCCCTGGAGCTGCCCATCTCTTGTTCTGCACTCCCCAACATCAGCTCCCCTGCTCAACACCTTCTCTTTGTCCTCCCGTCGTATTACAGAAGCTCAAATTGGGTGAAAAAAAAACCTCTCAAATTTCTTTTAATGTGCCTTAGCACAGAAATGATAACGCACCGTGATTACCTAGCTTTTCATAGGCACAGTTTGGAAATAACTGGTTATGGTATTCAGGTTTTTACATTACAGATTTATCAAATGGTTGTTTTCAGTGTGTGTCAATAGACTCCGGCTCTTGTTGTTCTTACAACTCTGTGTGATTTACTCTGCTGTAATCTGTAAAGCTAAACTGGAGAGAGAAGAAGTAAGCAATCATGACAGACATTACCCTGCAACTCAGTGCTTTGTGTAAAATAAACCAGCAAGTATCCTAATGGGCTTCAATGGAGAAAAATTAGCTGCCCCTGCTTGCAAGTCAGATGAGCAAAATGGTCCATCTGACCACCAGCAGCATCTCTGCGTTCCTCCCAGCCGCACAGGATGCACTCAGGATGCCCCGCGGGTGCCAGCAATCCCGGGCTGGGCAGTGACACTTACAGGTGCCCTGGGCGAGGTACAGCCAGGTGAGGACAGAGGCTGTGGCAGGCTGTCCCTGTCCACTCACCATCTGGGGTCATTTATCCCAACAGAGGCATGTCCTGGGAGAAGGACACACCACACCTTGCCCAGGATGCTCCAGAAACTGCTGCTTTCTGTCGCACATCAGGAAATATCCCCTGCATCAAGGCCAGCTGCAATTCATCTTAAGACCACTTCTGAATGTCTTGTTTCATTGTAAAATAAACATTCCCAGTGCCTGGTAGGCAATATTCATCTCACATAACTTCCACAATGGGATCTGTAATCCTCATTTTCACAGCCTGTCTTTGATTAGTTTCCAGGTGTGACCATTTTGCGCTGAAGGCTCAGCAAGGCTGTACCTGGAGCCAAGCACTGTGCACAGAGCAGCCGGCCACGTCGGGCTCCCATTAGCCACGGTGCTCCGAAAAGCCAAATCAAAGAGGGATTGAGATCAGCAGCCTCCAGAGGGCATTTCAAGGCCCTTAGTGAGTGGCCACACTAGAGCTTTTTCCATTTACCTGGATTAAAATTTGTCACAGAGAAAATACAAGCAAATACCAGAGCATCTGAGAAGTATAACAAATAGCATTTGGCCGGCCGTCAGGCTCAAAGGGGGGGGGGGGAAAAATCCACAGCGTAAATAAAGTGTAAACAACGTTTGCATAACATTGGATTAATAGTTCTTTTTAAAAACCACACTGGGATTAAAGAGACACGTTTTGTATACCAGGACTTGCGCTCTCTTCTTAGCCCAATAAATGCCAGAAAATACTTTTAAGAGAAATAAAAAACCTTGTTAGCCCAAAGCCTGCTGCTGAAGCAGCACTGCTTTAGGCGGGACTTTGGAAGAGGAGTTGTAGTATTGGTTGTAGTATTGTAGAGATGGTTGTAGTATGTAGTATTCCTGGAGCAGTCCTGTGTATTTTATCAGGAGTTTTTCCACAAAGCATTCCCACGGAAAGGGATTTCTGCTGCACATCTCCATCCCCATCCACCTGCGGGTTTTGTTGGCTGTGATTTTGAAGGCGGCGACGCGGAGGGGAGCTGTATTCCCATCCCCCAGCGCACACACAAATACAACCTGTGTATTTGAAAGCTTGCCTTTCCAATAACTCATTCGTAACGCTCCCGCCTCTTCTTCCCCAGCCCTGCTCCCTATTTTGCTGAAGTCAGTGCTGGCTCTGTCATTCCTCCGAGCAGACATGTGCTTAAGAACTGCTCCGGGGCTCTGGCTCAGATCAGTTACCTTATTAGTGTGGAATAATCAATGGATGCCATCCTCGATTCCTTCCCTTGTTTGGTTTGCGGTATCTTCTAATGACACCCATTTGCATTACGGTCCGCATGATCGGGGCAGAAATAGACTCCTGAAATGACGCACCTCATGAGGGCCATGAATGGGATATAGCAGCACGTGGAGGGAAAAATTTCACCCCCTACCTTTTGCTTGGAAAAGACACGAAATGGATGTTCAGGCAGCAAATACCTGTGACACCTGGCTTTTCTCTTTTGTCCCCATTACTCCTGTGGTTGTCGTGTTGGCGCGATGTCCCAGAGCAAAGCATGGCACCTTCCACCCTGAAAAACACTTAAGTCCTTCCTAGTTCCTCAGCTGATCAGGGTTAATATCAAACAGAATAACAGGCTGGGAAACCAGAATTCCCCAAACGGCAACGGGTGGGATTTCTACCTGTTTTCCTGTTCTTCTTTTCCCTTTCGCCTGCTCCAGCATCTGTGTCAGGCTGTAGAATTTGTACCTTAATCCCAAAGATGATGGTAATTAAAAACATAAGTCTCCATAAAGAGATGCAAATATATTAAGGAGGCAAAGAACTGAATTAGAGGCTAATCCTGGCGGGGTAGTGAAAGCAAAGAGGCCAGTAATTCTTTCCTTCTGTTATTTCACCTGTTCTTGTGGCAGGACGAGGCTGCGGCACGGTGCGGTGCCTGGGCTTGCGCTGCTGGATGTGCCACGCCAGCACCGACCACTTGTTGGGAAAGCTCTTCCCGTGCTTCCCCAGCCGGGGAAGGAGACGTGATTCCCAAACCCTTGCAGCTGATGCCGTGGTGTATGAGTTAGCTCAAAGAGGGAGCTGCGTGCCAACGTCTCCAAATCGTGCCCTTTGCTTTGCCCTTGTGCCGCAGGTGTTTCCCAAGGATGAGTCCAGCAACTGGGCGCTGTGCATAGCCCTTTCCTCACCCTCCTCCTGCACCAACAGAAATTACTTGGGCTTTGAGTCCACCTTTGTCCAAACCTGAATTCTGAAGAGCAAGGAGCTAAGATTTATTCTGTTGGGTTTTTTAACCTTCTGTGCTCCCTTGACCTGAAGAGTGCAGCACACTGAGCTGTGCCAGCTTCCCAGAGCTTTACCCTTCTCTCGAGGGGCTGGCCAAGGCTGAGCTTACACAGAAGCATCTTGGGCTAAAGCACATGGATTAGTGAAGGTCCCAAAGTAAGGCCGTAGGACTGATATCCTTCATTTTTATGGGCTGGAAGTGATAACGCTATGAACTGAATTATACTCATGTCATGACGTGATCCACGCACTCTTATGGGTGGATAGATATTGATTATCCATCAATATGGATTGATGGTGGATGATGATTCAAAGCCTAACTGCCAGGTAGCTGGGTGTCCTGGGCTTTTCATCTAGTCAATTAAAATATTGCTTGTGATTCAGCTTATTTATTTAAAACTGGGATTGACTGGCATCCCCACAGTGTTACCTATACCTCTAAAATCAACTCTCCCTCTTTTTTTTTGCAGGATGGGGAAGGCCAGACTGCACTCCATTATGGTAAGCTGCCTTTCAGCTTTGTTGTTCCTTCTTAACAGGATGGGTTTGCAGCTGGAGTAAATGGTCTATGTACAGAAAGCAAATTCCAGCAGAAATATGAGCAGGAAAGCTGGATTTGATTAACCAGTGGCTACCTCCACCGGCAAATCCCAGCATGGTACAAATAGGAGCCCTGGGAGAAGCGGTGAGGAAGACTGCTGTCCTCCCTTCGTTCTCCTCTGCAGATGTCACCTTAAAGCCTTCCTTTTCCCCCAATTAATGATGCACTTTCTGCAGAGTTTTTCCTGTGTGTCTCCAGGACAGGGTTGTGCTGCCTCCAGACCTGGCAGTGGCTCTGGTTAGAGGATGCCAAGTCCCTTTGCCATTGCAGAGATGAGAGGAGGGTCTGTGGTGGCTTTAACAGGTTACACAGGTGAGAAGGGGACGAGGAAGATGGCCTTCACCTCCACGTGTCCTGGTGACAAACCTGTTTGACTGCAGCTGAGAGAGCAGCAGCTTCTCTACTACCAAAATCAACAGAACAAAGTTACAGTTTGTGTCCCTCCTGCAATTAAGTGCTAATTAGATACACACTTTTATAGCAATCTTTAATTGAAAGATTGTTCCATCTCCAAATGAAAAAAGACTAAAGTGACACATGTGGTGCTGGTATGCAGGGAATAGGGAAAAAGTATCAATTTAATCTGTATCATAGTTTTTTTTCAAAAATTAAGACATGCCCAGTTATTATTTTATACTCTCTCTCGATGCCTGTCACTGTGTAATTAAGCACATACTTGTCATTCTGAAGTGTTTGTGTCTTTTACTCTCTTACAATCTCTCCACAAGGACATTAGCAGGCTGGCAAAATTGCTTTGCAGACCATTAGTCCAAGGCACAACATTTGGATCTGGATCTAAACTACCAGATTCCAGGGCCCCTGAACCAAGACTGTCTTTACAATAATGTCTGATTTCTCCCCATGGGATCTTTCCTGTAGGATACTTTGTTTTTTAAAATTCTTATCATTCTGTCTGTTGCTTAGTGCTGCAGTGTCTACAGAATGACAGCACTCAGTGCCACCTTGCCTCTTTCTCTGCCCAGCTCATTCCACATTTTGGGCTTTCTTTATCCTGGGGAGATGCTCTCCCCTGTTCCCAGCTCCATCACAGACATCAGCCTATGGAGGGGTACACAGTGGATGGTTGTGGGAAGGCACACCATGTGTGTAAGTTCTCCAAGAGCACCTGATTCAAGCAAGTTCACTATGTGAAAGTAGAGGGTGGATGCATCACCTCAATGTAAATTGTTTGTGGGTGGATCCTTCTGGCTGGTGGCTGAAACCAGTTCTTTAACAAACATAACTGATTTAATTAACATTATTTCAGAAGTGGTTTCTCTGATCCACCCAGCTCAGATGTTTCAATAATGACAATTTATCAGGTTTGTTTTTTTTTTCCTGAATGTTTTCAGTGTTAAAATTTTTTCTTCCCCTTGAGTATTATCCCTGCACATCATCTTTGGGGAAGGCGCTCTGGGTTGCTGGCACACAGGTCCAGTGTGCCCACGGGTGCTTGGGTGTCCCTGCCTGGCCATCCCTGCACCCAGCCTGTCCTCATTCCCTTACTTAACTGATCTGGTCATAAATCACCTCGATTTTGAAAACAGCTTGTTAAATGAGTGAATGGTTTTGATTCAAGTGGTTATTGGCCTGAAACTGGAACTCACTGAAAATCTCCTGATACCATTTCAGTAGGCACTTCATAACCAAGCTGTTAATTGCATGAGAGCTCGTATGAAAACTGTCTCTGACTTTGCTTAGAGGCTGTTCAGGGAAGGGTTAAATCCCATGAGCAAGGCCAGCCAGCCAGCCACTGCTTTTAGGGTGTCTCCATCCCTTTTTATGAGCCCGTGGCCTGACAGCTGTCCTTGTGGTGACAGCTCTCCTGATTACAGCCGGTGTCAAACTGCATCCTGCGGTGGGTTATAAATCCTGCCTCCTTCCGATCGGCGCCGACCCCGGGTTTAATCGGAGGTTAAGTGGAGGCCAACCGGCAGCACGGTCTGAAACCACCGGCTCACCGGTGGGATCCACCACCGGACCCGCTCTCCTCCGGACACCACGGCCGCAGTCGGTGCTGTGTTGATCAGTACAAGCCCTGTCTCCCTGCTAAATGGCCCATTAGTCTCCAGCTCCTCTCCATCCATCCATCCATCCATCCATCTATCCATCCATCCACCCAGCCATTGGGAATACTAAAATCATTGCCACTGCCTCTCCCAGAGGAAATCAAGGCTTCTCCGAGCACTTGTGTCCACGTGGCCGTGGAGTGGGCAGGCTCTGTATCCTCATGGGCACTCCCGCTTCCCTGCAAAGCACCATCTGTTCGGCTCTTTCTGTGCTGTGGCAGGGCAGTGGGAGGAGACGCTGGAGGGAAAATAAATAATCCATATTTAAAAAAAAAAGAAAAAAAAGAAAAGAAATTCATCATCTGAACCCTGAGGATTAATGGAGTCGGAAGGCGAACTGCGCTGAATGGAAATTCATCTTCACCCGTGCCAGTGTCAGGGCTGCCGCTCCAGCCCCTGACAAATCGAGGGTCCCAGGGTGCGATAAATCCAGCAGCTGTGCTCGTCCCCGGGGATGCCCCGACCCACTCGGGGACACGGGCTGTGCCTGCCAGCAGCACCGGATGAAGAAGCCACCTTTCCCCGTGCAGGGACCAGCTCCCCATCCCCAGGAGCTGCTGCAGCAGCTCCCTCAGCACTCCTGGAATCTGCTTTCCACAAGGGTGCTGTGCAATCACCCTGGGACATGCACCCCAGCCCTTCAGCTCAGCCTCACCCACACCTCGCCTGCTTCCTCATCAACCCCTTCCCCCTTAGTTTTTTTTTTCTCCTTTTTTTTATCTTTTTTAGCATAAGCTCAAATCACATGTCGAATTTATTTTAATTAAACAGTGTCGCTTGTCCCTTTGGGTCAGTAGAAAACTGCAGAGTAATGCAAAAGACACTCTAATTACTACATTTAACGGCAAAAAAGAGTTGGTTACATTGTAAAAGCGCCTGAAATATAGTTAAAATCAATCACTAGCGATGCCAGGGGAAGCTGCCGGCTTCGTGGTCTCGTAAGGCAGGTCAGACAGTCTTCAGCTTCACCAGGCTCTGTGTTGCATGGGGCTTGAGGGAAAATCCAGGGTCTGGGACTTAGGCTGGGATCAGCTAGGTCAGACTCCAGTGTTAAGAGTTTTCCTGGTTTTCCTGGGTGGGTTTTGTTTTGTTTGTTTTTAACATCCTTAGGGAAGGTTGGAGAAGGAGCTGAAAGCTACCAGGCAGGAGGGGGAAGAGTTCAGGTCAAACTTGATTCTATCTTGGCAGAGTAAATTGAAAAAATATTTGCTGGTGGAGATACGGGTTAGTGGTTACCACTGGTTTTGCCGTTTGGGCCCAGGCGTGTGCCCCAGGAGCTGGTGCTCAGGGAAGAGCCAGGCAGCAGCTAAAAACCATCTGGATTTTCCTCAAGGAGAATTGACAGATAAAAGCTGGGAGTGAGGCAGTACTGACAGCCTGGGACATGCTGGCTGTGGAGCCCTGGCAGGTTCAGGAGGCAGGTGAGGGGCAGGGGCTTATAGATGTGTTAGAAATTATAAATACATGCTAAATTCAGCACCGTGGCTGGGCTGAGGGCGCTGGGACCGTGTAACACCCCTCAGGACTGCTGGCTTTTCATTGCTGTCGCTCTGTCTTTTCTCTTTCTCGTGCACTTTTAAATCCAAAGGCAAGTAATACATTGAGTACTGAACACTGCCCTGAAAAATGATCTGCGCCTCCTGGCCAGGTGCTGAGACAGCATTTCCTACCTCTGGGACACGCATGGGGCGTCGCCAGCTCCAGAGCTGCTCTAGAAGTGCCCATCACCTCCGCCTCGGGTCAGGATGCCCAGACTAACCCTTCCCTTTCTCCCTCCAGCTGCCACCTGTGAGTTTTTGGACATCGTGGAGCTGTTGTTGAAGTCAGGAGCCGACCCCTCTCTCCGGGACCGGGAGGGCTGCCTGCCGGAGGAGGTGACAGACTGTAAAGCCATCACTTCGGCTCTGCGGCAGCACACCGCTGGCAAGACCTAAACCGCGGTGAGGCGCGGTGGGGAGGACAGAGACGCTCCCCAATAACGCCCCTTCTCCTCCCCCGCTGCCCTCCGAAACGCCTTGGGGGTTCCAAGGGGAGCTTTTAGAGCACAGGGTCTGGGTGGGCTCTCCAGCACGAGGGCTGGCCAGCCGAGCGCGTATCCTGGGCAGGATGGGATCAGGGTTATGCATGCTGTGACATTGACCAGTATGCAGGGGGGGAGGGAGGGAGCGAGGGAGGGGTACAGGGCTTGGAGAAAGCCCCGAGTATTGTTTTAATGTATTAAACACCAGTAGAGCATTGGATGTCTCGCCAGAGCAGCCTGTGCTGACTGGTCAGCTCCTCCGTGGGGAGAGGAGGGCTGCTGGGCCAGGTGAGATCCTCAGCTCTCTCCTTCGGGTTGAGTTTTGGTTTATATTTTTCTTTTCCCCTGGGTCCAAATGAAATATTATAAATAAAAGCAAAGCACAGTGTTGGGACAGAGCCTCTGCATGTTTGTCTTGAAGGGAGTGACACGCTTGGGAGCGTGAAGGATGGGAGGCGGCGCAGAGCTGTCGTGGCCCTTGGAAAGCTCTGCTCACGCTCTCATTCTGGGAAGAGAGGGCTACAAAAGCCAGCGGGGTCGGACAGCTGTCTGTCTGTCCCTCTAGTTCTCACCTAACGTACGTAGGACAAGTGCTTTATGGCTACCCAGCCTCTCCAAACTGAGAGGACTTTTACCACATTACACAACAGTTTTGCTGAATTACCTGGCATTAAAACTCCACCTCTGTCAGCAGCTCCAGGTCCTCCTGGTGTGTGCCAGTCCCTGGGGTGGCTGGTTCAGAGCTGGGGTTTTGTAAGAGCTGCGCACAGACATAACCTGCACTCACCCTGTCACCCCTGTGGGCCTGTCTTGGACGCTTCATGGTCCTCTCAGTTGGCAAAATACCCAGAAAAGTGGGAAATTTGTGTCAATACCTCAGGTGCCAGAATGAGGTGAGATGGGTGTGGGGCTTTCTGCATCCTCATCAGTGTCCCCACTGGGCTGTGCTGGGGGGTTGGCTGTGGTTCTGGGGAGCTGTGGGGATGGGTTTGTGCTTTGGGCTGACTCCTGGCTGGGAGGGAAGCTGCTGCGTTGTCCCTGCTATGCCTGGGGCAAGCGTACACAGCAAGAGGAGTCATAGAATCATAGAATGGTTTTGGTTGGAAAAGACCTTTAAGATCATCAAGTCCAACCATGAACCCAACACTGACAAGTCCCCAACTAACCCATGTCCCTCAGCACTATGTCTACACGACTCTTCAATCCCTCCAGGGATGGGGACTCCACCACTGCCCTGGGCAACCCCTTCCAATACCTGAGAACCCTTTCAGCAAAGAAATTCTTCCTCACATCCCATCTCAACTGCCCTGGGCACAACTGGAGGCCATTTCCTCTTGTCCTGTCACTTGTTCCTTGGTTGAACAGACCCACCCCCACCTCTCTCCACCCTCCTTTCAGGGACTTGGACAGAGCCAGAAGGTCTCCCCTCAGCCTCCTTTTCTCCAGGCTCAACAACCCCAGTTCCCTCAGCTGTGAACTCATCACACTTGTGAGACTTGTGCTCTCGACCCTGAGGAGGCTGTGGCTGCCCTGTGGGGTGTTGCTGTGCCACTTGCTGTTCCCTGGACAAGGAGATTTACAGCCTGGAAGGAGCATAGCAAACCTCCATCGCTGTGACGGGAAGCTACGTGCTATCGAGTCCTTTCTGCAGCACATCCAGCCTCAGGAAAATAAGTGGGAACGTTCCCTCTGCCAGGGACTGACTGGGCAGGAGACACACGTGGGCTTTGGCCCCTTGCAGCAGCTGCCAGCTCCCGCCAGCTCTTGTGAACACTGACGAGGTGCTGTTATGCTGCCAGCAGTCCGAGCAGCACCACGGCGTGGCTCATGCGCACGAGGCACCGGGCAGGCTGGGTGGTGGGGGACAAAGTGGCTTTGGCCAAGTTAATGGGCTGTACGGGCCCTTGTAGTGACCACATCACCTTATTTTCCATTTATATTGGAGGGGTCTGGTGGGCTGGGGAGCTGCGGTGGTGGTCTCTGTGCTTTTGGGGGGGGAAAAAACAACCAACCAAACAAAAAAACCCCAAAACAGCTTCAGGGTTTTTTCTGAAGTCAGTAGGAGACTTGAGCTCTAAGCCTGCTCCTCATGAACGTCCCAAAGAAATTGCCTTCCTAGCTGGAGCATGGATGGCAAAAATAAAATACATCATCTTGTGCATGTTCGCAGTCACCGCACGTGCACCAGCCTCTCTGTCCTGGGGGACACTTTTGCTGCTCAGCTGTGACAAGGAGCTGGTGAACCAAGCTGGCAGCGGGCAGGCAGAGAGCTTGGATACGGAGAGGTGTCTCCTTGGTGGCACAAAGCGAGCTGCTGCTTATAAACATTAATGCTTTAGTCTAAATTCCAGCGTGCAGCATTCAGGGTCCCTGCAGGACGATGCTTATTTGATGGCAGCGATGTGACAACACCCTGACCCTTGGGCAAGGACCCGCAATGGCTTCTGCTCTCCTTCACCCTGCCGAGGGGACCTGGTGAAAGTGCCAGTCCCAATGCTGGGGTGCTCTGCTGGCATTGGGAGCTGGATGAGGCTTTGAGCTACCGTGTCTAGTGGAAGGTGTCCCTGCTGATGGCAGGGGGGTTGGAACTGGATGAGCTTTAAAGTCCCTTCCAACCCAAACCATTCTATGATTCTATGAGCTGCTCCGCTGGGGACGTGGTGGCATCAAGGTTAGGGACAAGCAAGGCCACCTGTGTCTGGTACCATAATGTACAGCCACTGGTTTGATGGACACGCTGGGTAATAAAATATCTCTCTTAAAGCAGGGATGAAAAGCAGTAACGGCGACGCTGGTGCTTTCAGAGAGCACATTGAGGGGCTGGAGATGTTTATGGCACTTTAGGTCTGTTTGTGAGGTTGGAGCTTTTCCAAAAAAAAAAAAAAAATAAATAAAAAATAGAGGGAAAGGGAGGGGGGGAAGAGAAAGACATATATTATTGTTTATAATCTGCTTTATTCAGCCAAACCTTTCCCCAGCAGCCTCGTGGATTGCTGTTTAAATCCCCTCGGTGCCTTTAACTACTGCTACAGAAAGTGGTTAATGTGCATTCGCCCTAAGCTTGGCATCTACTCCAGGAAATCACTTTAATTGAGAAGCATTAAATGTTAAAATGATTAAAATATGGAAAGTCAACACACAGGTGCCCGTGAAAGGGGTTGGACCAGTCCTGGTGTGGCTTTTCCATCTCACCTGTGCCTGATGAGTGCTGCAGTGGTATAGATGGGCGTCCACCACCATCGTTACATGATGGCAGGAAAGCTGCAGGCATCTTGAGGTGCCGCATGGCAAGGATGGAGATGCCCACCCCAACCCACCTCTCCAACGACCAGCATCACTTGTCCCATCCAAGGATGTTGGCTCCTCCATCAAAACAAGACCCATTTAAGATCCCAACCCCAAAAAGCCAACAGTTTTGGAGCATTGAGGAAGAAAATCCCAAAGCCAGCAGTTGCTAAAGAGCATCCCGAGTTTATTTGACATCGCTTTTCCCTCGAGGAGAAGGTCACCATACAGATCTCATGCCAACGCACAGGAGGCAGGGTACAAAAGCAACGCCCTGGGCCTGAATTCAAGGATGTTTGGGTGGGTCATTTCTCCCCAAAGACATGGCAATAAATAAAGTTTTATTCTTTTAAATTTTTTAATTATTATTTCTGTTGTGGGTTTTTTTTTTTCTTTGTTTTTGTGGTTTTTTTTTTCTCGCAGGAAACAAGACTTACTTTCTGGAACTGTACAAAATTTACAGAGCGAACGAAGGGAGGGGGAGTTTGGCCTTGTGGAAGGGGGATGGAGAGCCATGGACACAGCTCACCCATTCCCCCCTTCCTTCTTTTAAATTTTTTAATTATTATTTCTGTTGTGGGTTTTTTTTTTTCTTTGTTTTTGTGGTTTTTTTTTTCTCGCAGGAAACAAGACTTACTTTCTGGAACTGTACAAAATTTACAGAGCGAACGAAGGGAGGGGGATTTTGGCCTTGTGGAAGGGGGATGGAGAGCCATGGACACAGCTCACCCATTCCCCCCTTCCCAGCAGCCGCCCGCAGTGCCTGGCGAGGCCGGGGGCTTGGCACAAAGCAGCACCCAAGGCGGGGTAAGAAGGTTGCACATGGGTGCTGGGGCAATTCCTGCAGCACCAGCACACCCAGCCAGGGCAAGGAGGGACAAGGACATACCAGTGATGTGCTTTCTTGCATGGCATTTTTTTTTTTCCCACTTCTATTTTTTTCTCCCCTTTGCTTTCAGAGCCCCCACAACCTCTGGCACCAGCCAGCAAACTGGATCCAGCACCAGCCCTCCCTGAAGGGCAGCCTGGGATCATCAGCATCACCCCAGGGTCAGGGGGAGATGGTGGGGACCCTGCAGCCAGGGTGTCCCCACGGGGTTGGGGCAGAGCCAGGCATGGAGCGTGGAGCTGGATTTGTTCCAGGTTGGGGTGGGTGCTGTGCTGGGGGAGATGGGCAGGTGGCCATCACAAGCCACCTGGGGTTTGAGAAAGGTGCTGGTGCTGGGTGGGCCAGGAGCCCAGGGGGCTGATGGGCTGTGCCAAAACCACCCGGGTCCTCCCTGGCTGCCTGCACCCATCATCCATCCCATTGGCACCAAGGCAGCAGAGGAGGCGGGTGGCCAATACCAGGGGTCTCACCCACTGTCCCCTCTGGTCCCCAGCATGTAAGTGCTCCTGCAGCTGATGAAATGCCCTTTTCCCCCTTGGTTTGGGGGAATTTTTGCAACACTCTTGGAGCAAACATTCCCCACCTCTCCCCAGCAGCTGCTGGAACACACCAGCCCCCAGCATCTCAGCCAGTTTGGTGTTGGGCATCTTGTTTTTCGCTATTTTAATAGCTCCCCACCACACGTCCAGGGTAAAACCCGCAGTGATGCGCTGTAAGCACTCCTGCACACCCAGGGATAAATCACAACCTGAGAGCCGCCGT